ATAATGTTATCAATAAAGGTAATAAAATATCTTTCACCACCCCAAGATGGAATGTCAAACGGACTACAAATATCAGTGTGTATCAACTCTAAGAGTTAACTGCTTCTTGTGGCTGGATTCTTTGATGTGTGTTTGATTTATTTTCCTTTAATACAATCCACACATACATCTCAGTCAACAAAATCCAATTGAGGTAAAATTTCACTTTTCATTAACTCATCATCTTTTCTTTGGATATGTGACCTAACCTTTGATGCCACAAGAAAGCAGAGCATTCATTACGCACATTCAGATTACTACTAACAACATTCTTAACATGAAACAAAGATTCAGCAAATTTAATATTAAAATTGAAATGATATAAACCATCAATTAATGTACCAGATCCAAAATAGTATGAGTGTTTAAATAAAGAAAATGTATCGTTTCCAATCTTAAAATTAAAATCAAATTCGTCCAACTTTGCAACAGAAACCAAATTTCTAGCACATTCAGGAACATAAAGACACTTTTCTAGATCTATGTAATAATCAGTATGCAAGATCAATCTGTAAGTCTCTATTCCTTTCGAACCAAACCTTTCTCTTAAGACAATCTTTCTTGAAGTGACTAGTCTTCTTGCAGAAGAAGCACCTAAGTGACCAGTCATCTTGCAGAAGAAACACCTCTGACCCTTCTGGATTCGGCCTTCACGAACCTTTAATAAGGCCTTATCCTTCTTGTCTTTGTTGTTCTTCTTACCTTGCTTAGCCTTGCTACTACTAGCCCTTTCATGAAATGTGAGATGGACGGAGTATTCTTTCACCTTCTTTAGCCTCCCTTCCTCCTGAATCAGCATGGCCTTAATTTTCTATATGTTCCATTTATCTTTAATGGTGTTGTAATTCACCTGGAACTGACCAAACTCAGGAGGGAGGGAGTTCAAAATGAACTGTACTAGAAAGAATTCATTTACCTCCATGCCCATTGATTTCAATTTTGTCGCTTGATTGATTATGTCAGTCACATGGTCATGAATGGGTCGTGACCAATCCAACTTCTTAGTAGTCAGCTTAGTCAACAGGATACCTAACACGAACTTGTCAATAATGTCCGATTGTGCATACTCTTTTACCTTTGCCATAAATTCCCTAACATTTTCAGTCTTTGACATTGATGGCTTCACATTTTCAGCCATAGTCATTTTCAACAAACTCAAACTCAGCATGTTCGACCTTTTCCAAGCTTCACAAAGAGTCTTTTCCTCTTCAGTACTGGTCTCTGTGATGGCTGCAGGATCTTGTTCCACAATGACTGCTAGGTCTAAGTCCATAACACATAGCTAGAATCGAACTTGTTCAGCCCAATCATCATAATTGAGCCCATTGAACTTGACTACGCCATTGCTCATGCCATACGTATTCATAGGAGCTGAATCTATTTAATACATGCTTAAACATTTATGCTTTGAATAAACTTAATAGATTCAGACAACCAACCATTATCAATTATGCATCTAAGTTTACCTTTGGATAACACCTATATACACAATTTATCTATAATTATGCTAATAAACAACTTTAATTGACAACCAGTCACTCAAACCAATATGCAAGTCATGTTTGGATATACAAACATATTATGAAGTGCTTACACGTCTTCTTAATGTCATTAATCATATGCAATGATCCACCTTTGGGCGATCTCCTAGCGTTATAATTAATGAGCTAAATTGTTCACCCTTTATGTTACCATATAATATCAAACAATTTTGAAAAATTTACAACACATAATTAAATGCTTCAAAAACTTTTAAAGTCAAGCCACTTTGGTGACTAACAGGCTACCCTTAAAATTAAGCACTAAATTGTGAAGTTCTTGTTATGATAATGTAATTTAGAATTAATTAACTTAAAAATTTAATCACTTTGGTGAGTAAAATTCACTTTGATGTAATTCTAAAATTATCTATACATTTTATGAATCATTTTCCTTATTCTGCCATAAAATTACTATGCACGGCCATGCTTTTACTTGATGCATGGTCGTGCTTTGATGAAGTAAGGTCGTGCTTATTTCTGATGCATGCCCCTGCTTCTTGAAGCATGGTCGTGCTTATAATTGATGCATGGGTGTGCTTACAATATGCAAGGTCGTGCTTGTTCCTGATGCGTGGCCCTGCTCACTGATACATGGCCTCGCTCATATTACATATCCAAAATCCAATGTTTCTAGCTTCCAAAACCTTAGGGTTTTCAGTTATTGAATCCAAAACAATTATTCAACATCAAAATAATGTCAATCCATCATATAAAATACCTAGGGTTCATGTAATTTGGGAAAAACTTTAATGGAGAACCAATCTCTTATGGAGAATCAACGAAATTCACAACCTTGCCTTGATACCAACGGTTAGAATTTTCTTTTAATCCAATATGTAATTTCCATTATGCGATGACTATTATGAAATTATCATTTTCCTTTGATCTTGAATTACGTTATTCTCACAACACAATATATGATTCTTATACAATTAAGGGTTTAGAGAGCACTACAATCCATTGTTCCTTGATGTTACCTTTCTCTTTGATGTCGTTGATCCCTTGGTATTTTCTCCAACTCTTCCTTCTTCTTTTAGCTACTCTCAGATAGTTGAGAGAAAGTTCTTTTCTTGCGTTTACCGTGAGCTCACTTAAAGACTGTGAAAGTAAAAAATAAAGAATGTCGTAACCTCTATTTGCTAACCGCTCTTTTATTTATATGAAGGGAGAGGGAAGGGTTTCTTTATAATTGTATTTACAATTATATCCTCAATGACTCTATATTTAATATTTAACCACCATTACATTAAATCATTAATTAGAGTCATGTTATAAGTTACATAGGCTACTATAATAAGATTATTAAAATAATCTAACAGAATCTGTTAGCATGCGGTCAAAATCTTGTTTATGGGATAAAATTATGATTTTCTTATAATTTTTTTTATTTAAAGACTCTGATTTTGTGCACTTGAATATGGTGAGTGAGTTTATTATTAGAAATTTTTTTATATACACAAAAATTTGAACTTAAAATTTTATTTAAGTGATTTTTTTATAATTTTAAAACAATAATATTAGTTTTAATAACATAAAAGAAATGTTTAATTCTAACATTTTCAGTGAGTAAAAACAAATTTAATGTATGAAACCAAAAAATTTTGAAACCATATTTATGTTTATATTTTAAAAGCAATTACAATTCATCATTAAAATAAGTTTTCTAAACTCACCTTTATTTTATTATATTAAATATAAATTAGTTATTGTAACGTGGAATTCTTAAATCAATTCTATTAAAATAGATACCAAACGGTGCATACGACACATGTAACACAACTCTCACATGAAGTTGTCGAAAATTAAATACTGTAAATATTAAGTCCCTAAAAAAATATTAGAAATATAAAAGTATTTTTAAAATGTTTTTTATTATCTGATTAAAATTTATAAAAATTATATAATTTTATTTTTAATTTAATGATTTTATCAGTAATTTATAATTTTTAATACGTTTAAACTGATACATAAAAATATAATTTTCAGTACAGTTTTTTTTATCAGTGGGAGTTCATTTACTCTCGTCCGTAATATGGACCTATCAAGAGACGGCTTCAACACTGGTCATTAATTAACTTTGAATTTGAAGCCAGTCAAGTAAAGCAGCACAACTTGACCGTCCCTCTTTTTTTATATGATATATTTTTTTTTTCTTGTAATTTTTGAAAATATTTATCTAAATTACTTCAAAAAGTAAATAATTTATTTTAAATAAACTGATAAAATTTTATATTAAAAAATTTAATAAAACTTAGTATAATTTTAAATATAATATATTAACTTGATTAATTATTCAAGATGGAATTGCCATTTCTACAAGATAATTTAGATGAATTTTTTTATTTCTTTATTTTGTGCAATTAGATTCACAAACAAAAAATTTTGTGAAAAAGTTAGATATGGTATCTTATTGTATCAAAACATTGACTAGATGATAAATAAATATTTTTGTTAAGTATCGTAGGAAATGCATTAAAAGTTATAAAAATATTAAAAAATTATTTTTAATTATTTAATTAAAATTTTTATTAATTTTAACTTTTAGAACTGAGTTTAAGTATTTACTAAAAAAATTTATAAAAAAATATACAATTATTGTATTGAAGTTATAAAAATATAATAAATACTTATCTTTTTAATAAAATTTTACTATTATTAACTGCTTATCCTTAGTTTAAAATTGAGGTTAAAAAACTCTTTAATTAATATCTTAAAAATATTTATTAATTAACTTAAAATAATACAAAATTTAAGTGTCAATAAATTTAATCTCAGAAAAATGTCATGATTCTATGGATGATTAGCTTAAATAGAGTTATTTTAAAAAATAATTTAAAATAAAAAATTTTGTAAACAAAATACGTAGTTCAACAGTAAAATTACAGAAAAAAGTTAAAACAAAAGGCTTAATACATTAAAAATGCGCTAATAATAAAGGAGGGAGATGATGTGTATCAGCATTCGCGTAGATCAACCGTATTCTATTCCAAAAATTAAATATCAATTTTATAATATTACATCACACATGTAAATGAACCAAACCACACATTTTTGTATGCATTTTTATTGTAGAAAATAAAACTAATAAATAAATAAAACATAATGTTAATGTTATTTTGTTAACCAAAGAAACATAAAAAGAAAAAGAGATTTCAATTCAACGTAAAATATCTAGGCACAGTGTCAGAAATGCAACGGAGATTGTAGATGAGTAAGGTGCAAGGAAGTTGAGGACTGTATGAGATCAATTATTTGACTTGGATGCGACAATTAAAACATAAACTTTAGTCAACTACGCCGCTTATAAAATTCTTGGTCCTAGCTCAAATTGGTTACCAGTGAAAACTGAAAAGTATCTGCAATGCAATGGAGAGGAACAAGGTGCTAGTGATCTACATTTACTCTATCTTATTCTGCTTCATGCCCATGTTATCTAAGGAGAGTAATATTATTCTTACTCAGAATCAATCTATCCAAGATGGTGAGACCCTGGTCTCAGCAGGGGGAACCTTTGAGGCAGGATTCTTCAACTTTAAAAATTCAAAATACCAATACTTTGGTATATGGTACAAGAACATATCACCTAGGACAATTTTGTGGGTAGCCAACAGAGACACCCCAGTTGAAAACTCTACAGCAATTTTGAATCTTACATCACAAGGAAATTTTTTTATTTTTGATGGCTCAAAGGGTATAATATGGTCCTCCATCACATCAAGAACTGGAGAGAAACCCTTCATGCAGCTTTTAGACTCAGGAAACCTTGTTGTGAAAGATGGAGACAAGGGAGAGAACCTTTTGTGGGAAAGCTTTGATTATCCTGGGGACACTTTCCTTGCAGGAATGAAGATTAAGAGCAACTTAGAAACTGGTCCATATAGGTCTCTAACATCTTGGAGGAGCACAGAAGACCCTGCTGGTGGGGAGTTTTCATTTCACATAGATATTTGTGGCTTTCCTCAATTAGTTGTTACTAAAGGAGCAAATGTAATTATCAGAGCAGGCCCATGGATTGGCCAATATTTTTCAGGAGCTTCTTTGCTAAGAGTTCAGAAATTCTTGAAATACTCTTTGCTGTTTACTGACAATGAAATCTCTTATGGATATGAAACCATGAACAGTTCAGTTATTACTAGAGCAGTGCTCAACCCATCAGGCATTACACAACGTTTGATTTGGTCAGACGAGACTAGAAGTTGGGAGATTGTATCTACTCACCCCGGCGATCAGTGTGAATACTATGCCTTTTGTGGTGCTAACTCAAATTGTGATGTTGCTAACAATCCAATATGTGAATGCTTGGAAGGGTTCAGTCCTAAATTTCAAGCAAAATGGAGTTCATTAGATTGGGCTGACGGATGTGTTCCGATGAAAGATTTAAGTTGTGTGAATGAAGATGGTTTTCTCAAATACTCAGGAATGAAGTTGCCAGACACGTCTTCTTCATGGTTTGGCAAGATAATTTTTGAAAGTCATTTTATTAGTTGAAATTAAAACATGAAAGAGCAAAGGTGTTGTCCTGGTTAACAGAATTAGAGTTGTGTGCTTACTAGAATTGAGAATCGGTGGCAGATTGTGTTAAAAAGAGTGTCTTGATAATATTAATCGGAATTCTGCTACGCTCCAAGATATAATCACCTCTTGTCTTATCAGAATTGTGACAGTAATAAAATCTGTTTTAAAGATACCTCTAAATGTTCTAATTTATAATTTGGTCAAAGAAACATTTTGAATTTTCTTTCTCTCTTTTTTTCGTAAACTTGAAAGCAATTATTGACTTTATTTTCTATTATCTTTTAATCTCTTTTTAGTGGAGATAGTCAGAGACTCAGAGTCAGCTTCCAAATTAAATGCTATTTATTTTTCTTGATCTTTCCTGGGCCACAAGAATCTAATTGCGATTGGTTATTGATTACGAATTCTCTTAATTCACAGATCACAAAAGGGATAAGAGGAACTTTAATACCAAGAAGCTAGCAGGAACTCTTGCTGGAGTTATTACATTCATCATATGCATAACAATCCTTGGATTGGTGACATCCACATGTATACAGAGGAAGAAGAATAAGAAGCCAAGGGACTTTGCGACAAGTACACTTACCGTCTTTGTGATACACTCTTATAATAGAAACAAAGTTATTGAAATGAAAAGAATTCTTGAGTTCTGAAGTCTGATGACTCCGATGTTTGTTCTATTTTCCTTTTCTTTATTTGCATACGAACCACTAACATATTTCTAAATATAATCACTCTAACCATTTTAGGAATTATACATGACTGGAAGGACAAGAGAAGGGACGAGGACATTGATTTGGCAACAATATTTAATTTTTCAACCATTTCTAAAGCCACAGATAATTTTTCAGAAAATAACAAATTAGGACAAGGTGGCTTTGGACCAGTATACAAGGTAGTGAGTAAATTTATTCAATAAAGCCTTCAAGATCAAGGTCTTTTTTCACTAAAATTCCAAACTTTTCAAAATTACTTTCAGGGCTTGTTGGCAGATGGTCAAGAAATTGCTGTCAAGAGACTTTCTAATACTTCTGGGCAAGGAACAAAGGAGTTCAAAAATGAAGTCATGTTGATGGCAAGACTTCAGCATCGCAATCTTGTAAAACTTTTGGGTTGTTCTATTCATCAAGATGAAAAGTTGCTAATCTATGAATTCATGCACAATGGAAGCTTGGACTACTTCATTTTTGGTTTGACTTTTCACACCTCTTAATTTAACCATCTTTGTTTCGATTTTGTAACTATGCAATTGCCATGCTAACTCAAAATGTAAACTTGGTAAGATTCAACACGAAGTAAACTAGTAGATTGGAACAAGCGCTTCCAAATCATTGATGGGATTGCTCGAGGGCTTTTATATCTTCACCAAGACTCAAGACTGAGAATAATCCACAGAGATCTCAAAACTAGTAACATTCTTCTTGATAACGAAATGAACCCAAAAATATCAGATTTTGGTTTGGCTAGAACTATTATAGGAGATCAAGTTGAGGACAAAACAAAGAGAGTGATGGGAACATAGTGAGTATTTCTTTAACTAATTTTGGTTTCACTATGTTGCAACTCCATTTTTTTCATCTCTAATTTACACTTAAATGTTATTTTGCAGTGGTTATATGCCTCCCGAGTATGCAGTGCATGGATCTTTTTCAATCAAATCTGATGTCTTTAGTTTCGGTGTAATTGTACTTGAGATAATTAGCGGGAGAAAGATTCAAGGATTTTGTGACCCTCACCACCATCTCAATCTTCCAAGTCATGTAAGCTTGGAATATAACTCGCATTGACGTATTATTTTTTGCTGCATCTCATCAAATAACTTCACTGTGTATATCTATAAAGCACTTCGAACTAACTAGTTTATGGTTTTCATGTCAATTTAGGCATGGAGGCTGTGGGTTGAAGAAAGACCATTAGAGCTGATTGAGGAATTATTAGATGATTTAGTCACTCCTTGTGAAATACTGCGATATATTCACGTGGGCCTATTATGTGTACAACAAAGACCAGAAAATAGGCCCAACATGTTAAATGTAGTTTTAATGTTGAACGGTGAAAAAGCACTTCCCAAGCCAAGCCAGCCCGCGTTTTACACGGGAAACGATATTCCAATTTGGCCGAAGTCTAGTTCAAAAAACTCGGTAAGTTATTCAACAAATGATATTTCCATCTCAATAATAGAGGCTAGATAGGATGCCACTATGCTTTTTCTTTTTGTCAAGAATGCCACTATGCTTACGGATGCTATATCTATGAAATAATATCTGCGGCCAAATCAAGAGGGTGATACTCCAAATGATGTTATTCAATTATCATCTGGAATTGGTATTCCAGTTCTAAGCTTCCGTTTCTTCTCGCAGTTTTTTTTTTTTTTCAATGTATTGTCATGTAGGAACAGTTGTATCAATTAGTGGAGGGCTTTCAAAGACTATTTTTTACTAAGCTTTTTATTTGCATCATGTATATTTTCTAGAGGCTCTCAGATTGAGCAATGATGTTCCAGCAAAATGTCAATTAGTATATACCTGTAACGTAATTAAAGCTGTCCACACCAAGAGTAGGATGAGCTTAATTTGAAATAAAACGGTGACCATTTTATTCGAAATTAGTAACTGATTCAGCAAAGCAAGAATCATATTCAGAGCCGCTAGAAAAACGAAACACAAAAAGAAACCCTGAAACTGAACATTTAAAATGCGGAATATTAACTTAAAATTAATCACCTAAAGATCGAACAAAAAGGATGTGTAAAATAGCATTACAAAGGTATAGCACCACTATCTTTCATTCACAAAACATGATTGCATCAAATTATCCACTTTAGTCCGCAAAGACAGCTCATCCCACTTAATGAATAATTTCAAAATAACAAGCTACAAATTGCATTAAAATTAAAAAAAAAAAAAGTAAAAATTGTACCGAAGAAACTACTGATCTGCAATAAGTATACAAAAATTGTTGCCAGTCATCAGATTGATTAACTGACGACTACAATTCCACTTTAGTCATCATTTTTCTTCTTTTTTCCTTTCTTTTTGCTTGGCATTTCAGCTAATTCTTCCTGCTCTGCATGCTTTTTCCTCTTTTTCTTCTTTTCTCCTGCATTCAAACTATCATCCCCATTCTGCAACTCAACATTCTCCGTGGATTCCTTCCTTTTCTTCTTCTTTTCCTTCTTCACAACTTCAGGTTCTGGTTCCTCACCAGCATCTCCATCAGCTACCAAAGTTTCATCCTCTTCATTTTTCTCCTTCTTTTTCTTCTTGTCTTTCTTCTCTTTCTTTTTATCGGCAACAGAAGGTTCTTGTGTATCTTCATCCATAGCAGAATCAACCATTTGCCCAATAACTGAATCAGCTGAAGGATTATATGTCTACAAGGAAAAGAAGAATCAGTCCAGGCATAAAGTAAAATTAAAATTATCAACAATACCAAAGGAGCAAGAAACTGACCTTAGCTGGGGTTATCAGTCCCCCGGCTCCTTTCTTTCTGTCCTTGTCATATGCTTCTATCTTGGGTTTCCCCTTGGCAGAACCAGCAAAACGGCCTAATTCTTTGCCTTCAAGGTTCCTCAATCGTGCTTCAAGCTGCACAAAAACTTGTGTAAAGAAATATTGAAAGAAAGAAAAATCTGGGAGCATAGCTAAACAGGGTGTAAAAAGTACCTTTGCCCTGTTCTCCAACCCCATGGTATTATCTTGTCCATCTCCAAGTGCATCACACCTAATAGCCAATGCTGTCTTTGCAGCAAGTGACCGAGAAATTTTCCCCTTGAACTTTGGAGCTGCCTGACCAATCAAGGATGCATGATATATAAGACCATACTTGGGAGTGGCATGCTTAGTCTTCAGTGCCCTAAAGAGTGCTTTCTCAGCACCAAGAATCTGCACAGTACTACCAGGCTGCTTTGCAAGATTTAACAAACTACCTCCATGGGCAATGAGGCGAGCACCAACAAGCTCCCCAACCAGAGCAGTCAAATTTGGTGCAATGGTGTTCATCCTACTCTTAAGATAATCATAGAGTTGTGCTCTGTATTCTGAAAGAGACAAAACCTGGTCACAGAGTTCTCTAATATTTGCCAAATCGAGCTCACCAATTTCAGTTCCCATAGATATCACAGCTGCCTCCTTCAGCTCTGCCTCAACTTCCTCTGGCAATATCTGACATGTTTTGGGACAAAAAATATATATTAAAATAATGGTAGCTGTGTATTCAAGCATTAATAAAAAAATCAAGGTCATTACAGATTCACTATTACTAGAGATTGTCCAAATAGTCCAGCATTGGAGTAAAAACCCAATATTACATCATTTTTGTCAACTGTATATACCAGGACAAAAAGCAAAAACATCAAAAGCATGTTACAGACAATTCATCGTTCTACCTCTGAGAAATCAAGCCCAGCTGCATTAACACGATCACCCATCAACTTAACTGCCCTTGCATAAAGAATGTTATCCTGTATTATTTTAGTAAGCTCTGGAAAATGCCAACCATACCATTCTCGAACCCTCATGGCATATGTATTCAATTCTTTATCAAGATCATCAAGTAAACCAATAGCCTGGACAATCATGGTATCCACCTAAAAAAAGCATCAAGAATTGGAAAATATCAGGCAAAAGTAGGAAAAAAAACCAATAAACAACCATTTGTATTGGTTAAAATTTAAAAATGCCATTTCAAAACTAAATCATAACAAATTTGGTAATTTTTTAAAATAAATAATTGATAGACACAATTTCATTTGTATGTCTGCCTCTTAAGGTTCAAAGATTATCACACTTTAAAGAACCATGCACTGTTAAATCTTTAATTATTCAGAAACCAAAAAGTAGCCACTTCAACCTCATGACAGTCAGAACACCCCTAAGAAATTGGTAATCAGAGTGGGAAACAAATCATGCACGCAACAATGTATGGAATCTAGATACTGATTTGGCAAATGTATACAACACATAATGGCAATAGTCCTGTATGAAACATGCAGTCTTGTTCCTTGAACACGTGAATCTAAAAGAGAACTTCAAAAAGAAGGGCACATAGATGGAATACATATACAAGACAAACAATGTAAACAACCAATAGCTTATTTAGTTCTCTTACAAGTTTCAAAAACCAAATTTATCACTCAATTACTTGGATATGTCATGATATCTGTACTTGTATCAATAATAAACAAAATTTAGGGAGAGCTTCTTCAGTGAACATTAGAGTAGGATATGGACCTTAACGTAAGAAAAACCTACAGCGATAACAAATATACTTATTAGGTAAACAGATAATCATAATATCATTTCCTTGTATCCTTAAAGTCAACAGAAAATACACCTTCTCTGCACTAAACTTCAATTTGTATCTGGATAAGCTATGAGATAAACCCAAGCTCATTGGGGCCATGTCTTGCACAGCTAGACCAGCTATGAGTTCAGTTAACTGATTTCTAACACCTCTAATCAACTCCATAACTGCATTGTTGTGAATACAATCGATTTTCTGAAAGGATTAACAAAATAAAAATCAAATTTAGCTATTATATGACTTAAATGTAAACTGTCATATCATAGAATTTTAGGGTAACTTAGATGGCCCACCAATTTCTCCTTAATCACATTTCCAAGCTTTGAATCAGCAACACCTAGTGTTTCATTTTCACAATGAGCACGCAGGAACTTGCGCAGACCCTTGCTAGCTTTTCCTTCTATCAGTAAAGTAGCTGCCTCTAGAGCCTCTGAAGTATTCTCGAATTTAGAAAATGCTTTCAACTTGACCACCTAATTTTGCACCAGTTTGGGTTAGCTTCATAAGCAATTAGAAACTTTAGTAAATATTAAATAACAGATGCATATAAATTGATTGAGCAGAGTTTCCACACTATCATATTGCTGGCATCTGCAAACACACAGCATACAGGGAAGAAAGGGCAGGAAGAAAACCAAAAAAGAGAACCTGTCTAGCAGAATCGGCACTGGAAAAGTCCTCCCACAAGTCCTGCATTAAGAAGAACGTAAAAAGTGAATCAATTCCATTCATAATTCATTGTAATACAAAGACATTTACGTTATAAATTTCAAATACTAGAAAGGATAGGCTGTGAGGAAGAATGAGTAACTGATCCTGTATTTTGTTAAAGTAATAGCACCCTGTCGCAAGTCATGCTAACACCGCAGAAATAATTAGAAATCCAAGGGGAGGAAAGAAACATTTCAGAGAATAGATCATACAGAAACAAGACCCAAACATTTCACCAACTACAATTGAAAAAATGTCATGAAAATGGAACATAACCAAAGTAAAAGAACAAGTCTTTGAGAAAATATATTTCAAAAAACAAAAGTAACAATGCTAGTTTTCTTTTAACTTCATCAGCAACGAAGAGACAAGTAAAGAATATCATTAAGATAATTACCTCAACTTTAGAAAGCTTGCCTTCATTTAGCACTTTAAAAAGGGCAAAACCCGCCGGTGTTTCAAACAACACGAGCATTTTATCACCTACAATAATAAACCTGAAAAACAAAGCACCAAATCATCCCCTTAATAACCTCACAAACACCAAAGTAAGCTTATAAACAATGACCCAGACAAAACGTACACTTTTTCCAGAAAGAGGCACTACACTAACGCATTGATCATCACAAGAAGCACAAGTAACAGTAAAAGACCAAGTTAACGGCTTTATAAAATCCCAGAAGCATATACCTCGCGTTGAAAGTAGTAGTGTGGTGTAGGAGAAAAAGAACAGCGAAAAGAGAGAAAAACCTGGAGTTGGAGCTTGATCCAAAAAAAGGGTTTTAGAGCATAAACCCTAAGCTAGGGTTGAGGAGAGAGATGATACACCGACAGAGGCGGCAGCTAAACCGTTTTGGATTGAAGCATGGATAATATAAAGGAGAGAGTCCCATTATTAATGGGCCAAGATAACATTATTAATGGGCCATTCTCAAACCTAAAGCCCAAAATTTACCTGACAGAACAATCGATCTGACCCAATAACATCCTGCGTTGTTTGAAAAAACCTGACACTGTTGATTACTTTCGTCCTTGGTTTTGGTCTCACTGCAAATCTTTGAATCAAGAAAAAGAAAGTAGACATTAAGTCCATTAATTTATCTTCACAATGTCTTTTCTGAATTTTTATTTTTTATTTTATTTTATATAATATTGATCGTTAATAATAAATTTATTTATTATTTTCATTGCTTTTTTACTTTAAAGTTTTATTTAAAATTAAAAATATTCATGAAATGCATTGAAAACTTGTTAGTTAATCATAGAAATATATTTCATCATTCTTCAAACAGTTTTTCCCCATAATTTCTTCCTCAAATTCAAAAGTCTATCTCTTTAGCTTATTCACACATACACAAGAAATATGAGTACTAAAACTTAAGAAGAGTATTCTGAATAAATATTTTTTTTCATGAAAAATTTTCTTTTACTAAGTTACGTCATTTATATTGCATAAATTATTTTATTTTTTTATATTGATATTATTTACTACTGATTAAATATAATTAATCATTATTTAAATTTTACTTAAGTTTTAATTTTGGAATATTGTCAAATATAAAATTATTTTTAGAGAAAATATTTGTAATTTATGTTACAGTATTCAAATTTAAAGTGATTTTATTTTTTAAATTTGAAAAAAATCATATCAAATAATTAATAGATACATATATAATGTATTTTGACTTGAATAATTTATTTTATCAATTTACTTTATTTTAAAAGTTTACTTTTTTAATCCTTTTATACAATAAAATAAAATAGTTATTTTATTTTTTTGCTCTAAGAAAGAGTTAAAAAACCTAATAAAAACAAACTAACTAATTCATAGGCTTGTAGCAAACTACAAGATGCTAACATTCATAGTTATTTTAAATAATAATCTTATATGCTATCATACTTTATTCTCCTTAAGATAACAATAATAATATTTTTATAAATTTTATTTCTAAATTTATCTTAGATTAAAAAAATACTAGTCTAATACATTAAAAAATTGCTATATTTGATAAAATAAAATTATTTATTATTAACAATAAAAATATTTCTAATATCTAATATAATTGTTGTTTAAAATATGTCACTGCATTATTAATTACTAAAAATAATTTTTATATTTTTATTTTTGTTTTAAATTTTAAAAAAACTTATACACGATATTCTAAATTTGCTGCCTTATGTGTGTTGGTTAGGGTAGACAACCTCATAAATTTGACAAAAACTTGTCCTATATCAAAATTAATGTTTGTAAGATATTATGTTATATTATTAGTAAATTCTGTGGTATTTTTAAAAAATTTTAGAGTATCGTACATGTAAAATTTTAACTAATAATTTTTAGATATATGTTTAAATAATAAATTATTATATTTGTTATATTTAAACAAATTAAAAAGCAGATAAATTTTTAAACAAGACGCAATCAAAATTAAATAGAATAAAATTTAAAAATGAAATAATATTATATTAATATATTTGTTATATTTTTAATTCTATTATTATTAATATTTAATTATTATATTAATATATTATATTACAGTTCTTTTTATTTATAATAAATAATAATTATATACGCATTTAAATAATAAACTTATCTAATAATAAATTATTATATTTATTATATTTAAACGAACGAAAAATGGTTAAATCTTTGAATAAGGATATCATACAATTAAAACTAAATGACCTAAATTTTAAAAATAAAATAATAATATTATATTGATATACTTTTACATTCTTAATTAATATTTAATTATTATATTAGTATATTATATTATAATTTTTTTATTTATAATAAATAAAAATTACTTAAATATGAATTATATTTTATTTTAAACTAATAATTTATAAAAAATATAAAAAAATAAAATATAAAATTTAATATATAATAATAGAACCATGTAGTAAATAATATAAATAATATAATTTTAAATAAATTATATATAATAATATTTTTTTTAACTTGTCATGTATTTTATTTTTGTCGGTATAAATTTTTTGAATATGATATTCATAAAAAAAATTTAAGATATCACACATACTTATTTTCTTTCATTTTATCATCTTTTACTAATTTAAAAGCGTTAAAAACTTTTGAACGAACTAATAAGTGTGGTCACGAACATTCAAACTAAAATCTACTGTCGTGATCAAATACAAATTTAAAAGTAAGTTGGTTAATGTATTATAAGGTTAAAAGATTATTATTGTCAAAATTATTAAATTTGATAGTTTACGTAAACTCATGAAATGTTGGTATGCGAAAGTTATATTTAAAATCTCATAATAATGAAATAAAGTGTATAACAAAGCTAATTAAAATTATACTTAAATAGTAAATTAAATATGAATAATGTGATTTGGTTTGTTTTAATGAGAAGAAAGAAAAATAATGTCCTAATTCTAAATGGTATTATTTTAATGAAATGTCATTTTTTTCTTTATTTTGTTAAATTTGTAGAATCGCATATAAACTCATGAATTTCGTACGAGTTTATCATTGTTGTCATGGTGGAACACAAAATAAAAGGTAAGCTGAGATTCAAAATTATTATTCTTTGCAGAAATAAAACATAACACAAGCATTCATGAAATATTCTTCCTCTAGTCTACCTTATTAAAAAAATACAAAAAGGGAGACATATATAGCTTTGATCTTAGATTATAATGGAAATGTAAAAACAAAAATGGATGTCATTTGCATTGATCACAGGTTCAAAGAGAAGCGACAATGTCCTTGCTCTTCCATTTGCAGATATGAAAACTAGGATTCAGATGATGCATGCAGCATGTTGATCAACCTAACAAGCGCTTCCGTATCTGCAAGGATGCCAATGATAGATTAATCATAAACAAGCTCTGTAAAATTTCATGCAGAAACAATGTAAATGTTGCAATTCTGCTTGAAATGAATGTGACACAATGAACATGCCTCGGGCAATTTCTGTCGAAAAATGACATCAAGTCGCGCGTCAAGGGTGTTCTCCAACACTATCTTCCCATCATCCGAGGCCAACACTATTCCTCCGGAGCTTCATTGAAACAATTAAGAGCACAAATCATTTAATTAAACTGAATTAGGTGTTAATCAGAATATTTGTAGATGAAATTAAGAAAAGGAGATACCAAAAAGGTTCATGGGAATCCACGGCGGCGTTTTTAGGCGGCGGTGGGAGGTAAACACGATCATCAAAGGTAATCTTAGGGGCTTGCACGGTGGCTTTCTCCGAGTATTCTTTTTTGGCTTCCTCTAGCAGTGACTCAACCAGCTTACGATCCCCCTCTCGGCATCTTAATATCACTGATGGTTCCCTCAAGCGTAGTAAACCCTACAATGTGTCCGATTAACTAATCATCATTCATCACGAAATAAAATTTTGGAATTTGGATGCACAAATTGTTAATTATAATAGTTTAAATACCTGAACAATCATGTCTTTCAGGAGTTTTCTGTACACTTTCTTATCACTTGAGATGCGTAAAAGCGCCTTTTTAGCAGCATCCTTCACAGAATTCACTGCCTCATCTTGTGCTTGAAGCACTTTTATTCGGGATGCATTCAGCTGCATTGAGTATTCACTGCTCATAAAATAAACAAGTTTCGTAAAACAGTTCAATATTTATTATACTTAATTTCCAACTTTCAAATTTGTGTTTAATTTCGATCAAGTACTATGAAAACGAAACTCATTTATAAGCTTACATCTTTCTACGAACGTCAATTTGTTTGGCTTTTCGTTCGTACTCTTGCCTGATCTTTCTTTTTTCAGCTTCAAGTAATTGCAGTTTCTCAATATTGAATTCCTATAATGAATCAGAGTAATGTGACAAATCAAATTTCCTTGGAAAAATCACCATTGCATTGTTGATATTACTAAATATGCATTAATTAATGTTGATTTAAGTTACATCATGCAAGAAAATGTTCATAAATATAAAATATTGATTACTTCCTCTGCGGCAACAGCAATTTCATTAGCTTTCTCCTCAGCCTCTTGGCGGATGAACCTGATCATCTGCTGGATCTGCCTTGACACATCTGCGTCCTTCATCTTTTCTTTTGTTTTTTGACAAAACCTAAATGACGTGAACTTAATCTTCGAATTTATTATTGATAATTCTTAGAATAAAACAATCAAAACGAGACAAAAAAGAAAAAAAAGTGGTATCTTTGTTACCTATTTAATCAATTGTCTTCTCCAAACCCAGAAGCTGGAAGGAAAATGGAAGTGTAACTATTCTGATTCCTTGTAAGATAATTGCAATTTTTTTATGTATGTAACCAATGGAAAATAAACACAAAGCTAATAATCCGCGCATTGATTTCGGTCTGTTAAGAGATTGGATCTTGAACAAGTATATCCTATTTCTGGAAAATTGAACAAGCAAAACAAGGATGAAAGAGAATGAAGAGAAAAGTCATTAACTCAAACCAAGATCCACCTATCATATAACTATCCTCATATGTGTTTTGTCCACGAAAAAGCTACTTTGTTTCAGCAAATTGGAAGACTGCATAGGAGTTACACGTCAATTTCATCAGTGAATTTGTAATTTTACCCTCCCATGGTAATAGGGTTACCAATTTTGTAAAAGACAACTTTTGTAGTAACTAGAAAGCTTGCAAGGATTTCAATGATAAAGACTCATAACAGTGTATATTACCTTTATAAAGAATATAAGGTGATGGATCAACTTTGATAATATAAATTTAATACTAATTTTTCCAAAAAATATATTATTTATAAAAAATATTTTAAAAAAATCAAGCTACTGAAATTTTAAATTAACAAATCATGTTGAGTATATTAAATTTTAAAAACTTATTTAACATGACTAAAATTTAAAACATTTAATATTTAATTAACTTTAAATATATGACACCTCATTTCATTAAATCGATATTAATAATATATTTTTATAACAATAAGTCTTCATAATAATAATTTATTATATTTATTTTTTCAGATTGTAAAACAAAATTATGATAATATTATAAATATAATTATTTTTTAATTTAACTATGATTTTAAATATTATAAATAAAATGAATATGATATATTAATGCAATAGTAAAAAAAATTTCAACAATTTCTATATAAGTATATTTTGTATAATAGATAATTTTTCATATAAATATATATATTTATTACTTAATATTTACTTTATATTATATAAAAATAACTGTTTAAATAAATTATAAATTTTACCCGTGTATTGCATAAGATAATATTATAAATAAATTAAAATTTAAGAAATGAAACATGAATATTATCAAAAAATAAAAATTAAATTTACTTTATGATTTATATATTAACATAATTATATATATATATATATATATATATATATATATATTGTAAAAACAATTATGTGTTTCATATATAAATATACTTTTAATATATTTTTAAAAAAATCATATCAATCCTACAATAATAAATTATATTACCTTGATTTAATAATATAAAAAATAATAAATAAAGTTTTTTATTAAAAATATATCAAAATTAATAATTTTAGTAGTTTACTTTGTTAATATTTTATATTAATTTTTTTAAAATAAATATTTATATTTGAGGTATTTTTTTCATTATATAGATATTTATATCTTTATGTATGTATCTTTTTATTTGAGTAATGAAAATATTTATATTAAATTATTCAACTTCTTATAATGTATAAAAGAGATTTTTAAAAATAAAAAATTATAAATTAAAAAATACAATAATATTATTTAAAATTAAAATATTTAAAAAAATTAAACATGTGATTTTCTTACGAACTTGAGGTTATTTAATTAATAATATTAAAGAATCACTTTAAATTATTTTATATACTACCTCAAGGTTATAAATAATATTTCTTAGTTGTTTTACTTTAATTTTTAATTTTTTTGTATTTAAAACTATATTAAACTACAAAAAAAATGTAAACATACTAATTTCATATTAATTTTTATTCTATTATTATATAAATGTTAGATATGGTCGTAGAATATATTCACGCATGTTAAGTTAAGTTTGTTCATGATAAGGATACACTAATTTTTTCAATACTTTCTTGTTGTGAGATAAGGTGACGTCCTTACAAGTACTGCTGGCTTTTCCTGTTTTACGTGGGAGGGTGTACCTACAAAAGGCACTTCGATGATAAAGTCAGGTTTTGGTTTTAGGCAATAAATGCTATTGAATATTGAAAGTCAACTATTTATCTGTACCTCTTACTTTCTTTTTATAAGCAATATTATGAGCTAATGGGCTTTGTGGATTATCCCTCTCTTTAGCCTTCCAATTAAGTAAATAATGATCTGATTATTTATTCTAATTGATTTAATTATCCTTTAATTCATTTTTAATCTGGGCCGAAGGGTGCTCGTTTTATTTGAGCTGAAGGGGTATTCAGATTCCTTTTTTTATCATTGAGACCGAGTGGTATCTTATCCAGTACACTAGCCCCCAAGCTCTGAAGAGGTATGACTTTAGGGCTTTGTTAAGTCCTGTTGACCCTTTTTGTTGGTGATATGATTCTCTTCATAAAGGTGACAATGATGTTTTGATCAATAACGCATTCGATTTTCTTGATATGTCGATGTTAATCTGAATAGGTACAGGTTATTTTTTATGGTGTTAAGGCCAACTATATCGCTGGTTTAAATAAATCTCTCCAATATTTATAGTTTTCTCGTGGTTTATGCTCTGAAATGAAAGGTTAAGCATTCTAAATCGTTGATCTGAAAATGATTTGATGGTTGAATCGTTGATCTAAATCATTCATCCTTAACTGAAGGGAGTACTCGAGAGGAAAATAAGCAAGAATCCACGACAACTGACTAGTTTGTAGAAGAAAGTGATTTTATTAACAAAGTGCCTTATTAAAAACCTTCTCAGGAAAATCTCTTTTCACGTTCTTTTAAGAAGACAAAACCTGAGCGAGGAAACGAGTGCACAATTTATACATTACATTTGCTTAACTAAAATAATGCTTTAGATGTGACACGTTCCAGGTCCTTGGTATATTTTTCCCTTCAAGTGTTTCAAGCTTGTAAGACTCATTATCTAGGTGAGCTGAAACTTGAAAGGGTCCATCCCAGTTTGCAATAAGTTTTCCTTCTTTTTGGTCTCGGCGTGCTTCTCTAGTTGCTCTCCACACTAGGTCTTTAACCTGAAATTGTCTTGGTTTTATTTTTGAATTGAACCTTCTTGTCATTGTTCGTCTACTGGCCTTGACCATGATTGCTGCTTCATCACGTACCTCGTCCAATGAATCCAAGACAACAACTAAAAATTCACTATTAGAGTTTTCATCAAAGTGTTGCCTCTGAAAGGATGGCTCTCCAATTTCAACCGAAACCATGGCATCAGTATCATAGGTTAACTGAAAAGGTGTTTCTTTTGTGGTTGTTTAGGGAGTATACTGATAGGCCCATAAAATCTCAGGTAATTTTTCTACCCATTCTCCTTTTGCCGAACCCAATCTTCTTTTAAGTTCATGTAAGATCACCTTATTTGTTGCCTCGGCATGTCCATTAGTCTGGGGATGCTTGACAGAAGTGACTCGGTGCTTATCCTGCAATCCTTCCAGAAATTCGTTAAAGTGCCGATCTATAAACTGTAAACTATTATTTGTAATTTAGGCATGTGGAATGCCAAAATGTGTGATAATGTTCTTCCAAGTGAATTTCTTAACATTATTTGTTGTGATGGTAAAAAGTGGCTCTGCTTCAATCCATTTGGTGAAATAGTCCATAGCGACTATCTGAAATTTGCATTGTCCATTTGCTAAAGAAAAGGGTCCTAGTAAGTCCATTCCCCAAACTGCAAAGGGCCACGGTGAAGAGATTGGGTGAAGGTTATCGGCATGCTGGTATATATGTGGGTCATGCTGCTGACAAGGAATACATTTTTTGACAAAAGTTCGCAATCTTTGGATAAAGTCGGCCAATAGTACCCGGCTCAGAGTACCTTTATTGCCATTATCTGGCCCCCCGAGTGGGTACCACAAATACCTTCGTGAATCTCTCATCACATAAGTGGCTTGGTCTTCATCAAGGCATTTCAACATAGGGGTTGAAATTCCTCTCTTGTATAGTTCTCTACCGATGAGGGTATATTTGGCTGCCTACATTCTTATATTTTTAGTCTGGGTTAGGTCATCGGGGAGTTTATTATTAATGAGATGTTGAACGATTACAGTCATCCAATTTTGAGATATGTCTTCTATTTCCATGCATTCTTGTTTCAAAATGTTGGGCTTATGAATTTTTTGTTGAATCATACTTTGAAGTTGTCCTGGTTTCCTCTGGCTAGTCAACTTAGCAAGCCTATTAGCTTGTTCATTCTAGGCTCTCGATGTATATCAGATACATACTTCATCAAACTCACCCTCTATTCGTTTGAATTCTTGATAGTACTGCAACATGACTGGGTCTTTTATCTAATATGTACCTTTAGTTTGTTCCGCCACAACCTTCGAGTTGCTCCAACATGTGATACGTCGAACTCTGATTTCTTTTGTAAGTCTGAGACCAGCGAGCAGTGCCTCGTATTTGGATTGATTATTAGATGCCTTAAACCCGAATCATATGAATTGTTCAAGTACTACCACATTCAGCCCTTCTAAAACAACTCTTGCTCCATAGCCTTGTCGGCTTGATGATCCATCTACGTGCAGTTTCCATATGTTGGTATTAGTCTGTTTCTAGGTAGTGAATTCTTTGACAAAGTTGGCAAGTACCTGAGCTTTAAGAGGTCCTCAGGTTTCAAAGCGGATATCAAATTGGGATAACTCGACCTCCTATGTCATTAACTGACCTGCTAGTTCTGATTTTCACAACACTTGGCAATTGGGTAATCGGTACGCACTACTATCCGATGGCTCTGAAAGTAATGCCTTAATCGATGAGCTGTGTGAACCAGTGCCAGCACTGCTTTCTCCATTAACTGGTATTGAGTTTCAACGTCTTGAAGTGTTTGGCTAATAAAATATATCGGCACCTGTTCAGGTATTTCATGTAATAAGACCAAGCTGATGGCCTTATCTGATATAGCTAAAT